CTCTGCTCCTCCAGTCCCAAACCGAGCCGAGGTTTGCGGCGCCGTGTGCCCGCACAAACAGCCCCTTCCTCCCCGCACGCTCCTGTCCAAAGCCTTGGGGAGGCCGGGCCGTGGAGCTGAACCGGTAAACTCGAAAGACGAGCTGATGTGTTTGCACGCAGGTCACGGTGCATACACGCTAACACGTCAGGCACCCGTTAGGAAATGCTAAATCGTTTCCCTTTCTATACACTGCAGCACATATGGATTAAAATTGGATTTATAAACTAAAAGAAAACCACAGATGAAGAGGAAAATTGCATTCGCCTCAGAAAGTGTATCAAATCCTTCACAACCCAAGCATGGGCTAAACAAAGTTGAAAGATAAGTTCAGCGCTTCGGTTCCCATCCCTTCCCTGCTGTAAAATGAGCTTGCTTCATTCAGATTCACCGAACACGAACATCCAGCCTCGTGCTCCCTACAGTTTCCAGGTTTTAAAAAGATTACGTATTCAGGTTCTCTCCTGGGAATGAGGAAATTCAGAAGGAAATCGCCATGGAGAAATACAGGTTATGAAACCAGTTAAAAACTCCCTTCTGCAACTTTCAAATAGCCAGCTAGATGCAGTAGACTAACAGACATACACAAGCTCAAAACTTGTTTCATCTTTGCTCTGTCACACACCATTAGAGTAGAATCAGACAGACAACTTGCACTTACACATAAACCACATTTCTCTCAAGCTTATCACTATTTCTTAGGAAAACTACCTCAGTCCAGTCTGGAAAAGGAATGGATGCTTTCTCCTTCCAGGCTGTAATGTTTTCAATGTGGATTTACAGTGGGGAGAGGGGAAATTGAAAGTTCTGGATTACAAATTTCTGTACTTCCAGAAAGAACAGCACAGGTATTTTCCCCATGGACAGTTTCATCCCTTTTTACTGCTTTAGTTGATGCCCAGCAGGAGATGGGCTGGCACTGTGGGGTTTATTTCATCTGGTATATCAAATATGCATCACTTACTATAACTTCTTACAACATCAAAACCTGAGCAAGACTTGAACAAACACGGGGAACAGCAACAACAAAGCAGCTCCAGCCACAGCCTTAGTATATAACCAATCTGAAGATAGCATAGCCTTCTTACTAAGAAAAACTAAGCATAGGTAGGCAAGAAATTCTGCCTTCAGAGGAAGAGAACAGACACCTCTGAGCATTACAGCCAAGAACAGGAGAAATCCCACTAGACTTGGACTTTATAAGAGGTGGCAATAACAGCAAGAGATAACACTGTTAACATGATGCTCTCTATACGTAAGAGCAGATGTATACCAAACAGCTGAGACTTGGCTTTTGTGAGAGTCTGTTTTACAACTTAGGTGAGAAGAGAAGTAAGAAGGCAATACCCCATCTTCACAGCTTTTAAAAGCAGGATTAAAGAAAATCTAGTGCTCATAGAAGTGTGCATGCAGCTAAAAAATGACAGTGTTTATTCTGCTTCAAAGAAAAACTCCTTTTACAGAGCCTTATTTCATTATTCCATTTACCTGAAGGAAAAAATAATAATAATAATAATCTGTAAATGCACAAGTATCCTTAGAAGCTGTTGCTCAGTCTACACCACACGAAGTACTGAGGTTAGACGCCAGAGAGACTCTGATCCCTGACGAGCCTAGTGAAAATTGGCAGCAGGCTCTAATGCCCCCACTGCGGGAAAAGCAGGAAGTCAGCTGTTATCCAGCAGCAGCTGCCTGGCCAAAAGCACACATGTACTGGCCAGCCGATCACCCCGCACGCTGCTCTGCCCAGGCAGCGGGTCAGAGAGGGAGCCTGGGAAATGAGGGGGTGGGAGGGCGAGGAGAGCTGGGACAGGAGAGGGAACGTGCGGTGCTGCAAAAAGGCACAACAGCCAGCCTTGGGAGGTGCTGGGACATTGAATAAAAATCAGTTGGAAACCAGATTTTACTGGTTTCATTCCTTCAGGAATAATCTGTTATTTAAGAAAGAACACTTGATGCTCAACCCTACACTTTATTCTCAACTCTGTGCTAAAGTACTGCATTTTGTGAGAGGAATTCTCCCCACTGCACATCAGCAGTGCATTTCATGTTTCATCTGGGTGACCACAACACCTACGTAGCCATAAAATATTTTTCTCCTTTCCTGAAGCCACACTTGCAAGTCTGGACAGATAATATGACACATTAAGGCATTTTCTCTTGCATTTGTAACACTGCTAGGTGACAGTAATGTCATTAGCTTCCTGTTGAAGGGCATTAGTCGTTGTTTACCCATGGAGAAGCTCTCCTTTGCTTTTAAAAAACAGTATAAAGAGTGTAACAGGCAAAAACAACATTGGAAATATATCAGATATCACAATAATGTACTTCAAGGGAAATCTAAACTGCCCTTAATTCTCCTAACAGGCAAATTCCATCGGAAAGCAACTTATGCTGAAACTGCAGAGTCAAAAATAAATGTTGGCCTCTTTAATGGCTTTGGCAGAACAGTATAAATTGAAGGGGAGTAATGTGAAAACACAATAACAAACAGCTGGATTGATGCCATGAGGTGCTGAGCACTGTGGCTTGATGTAGGAACTCATTTATCTGCTTGCTTACTTTTAGTCAAGTAAATGGTCTCCCTGGACTCAAACTGCAATTAGGCATGTTTCAGTGTTTAATTGGATGGGAGCAGAATGCTGGGCACTTTGTGGGACTGAGTCCACTGAGAGCACCTTGTACGTCCACCAGACACAAACAAAATTTGTATCTCACTAAGAATAATAGGTGAACCCAAACCCCTCCTCTCACAATACCTGCTTCTAAGCCAAATACTATCTTGATGCTGCTCTTAACCCCTTCTAGCTAAAATGTCACACCCACATTTTTTAAATCCTGATGGGAAAAAAAGGAGATAATTTCCCAGCAAATTGTGAGAATCCTTTTTTGTGAACAAGACAGGCTGCATCAACATGGATGTTTTTTCATGTTAGCTGGAGTTTCTGCCATCATGTATACTTAAAGTTACATACAAAACACTTCCCAGCTCCCTGAAGGTCTCTAGAACTAGAGTACATCCTTGTTCATCTTGTGTTAAGGTGGTAGAACAACTGGGGAGAGCACTGAGTAAAAAAAAAAAAACAACAGAAAAAATTAACACAGATACAAAAGAATGGACTATGGAGAAAGACTGAAAGGATTCCCCTGGAAGCAAATGGCCCAGGAAGTGGAAAAGGCGGGAGAGAGTGTTACAATGGTGTATTGGAATAATGTACAAGGTTTTTATGAAACAAGGGTACTGAACAGTTGTTATCCATGTGCAACAAAGGTAAGACAAACAAGTTACCCTCTCACTTTACACAAACCAGCCTCAGAGTGGCTACTAAGCAGCATTTCTAACTATGAGGTTAGAACAAGCTACCTCAGGAGGAAATTCTCCTCTACTGGAGGATGCTGAGAAAAGGCTATACAAACTTCAGTTAGTGACAGTCTGTGCATATACATTATCCTGCCTCAGTACAATGTCTAGATCATCTAGATCCCAGCACTAGATCATCTATGGTCCCAGTTTTCTAGAACTCCACACATCAGCAACTTCCTACTTCTCCTAACTTGGAAATCATCTTCCTTTAATATCCAGATACACATTCAGTAATTACTGAGCCAGCATTATAGAAGGGGAACAGTGTTTGTGTAACACTTGGTTGCATTGCTTGGTTGATAGAGAATGGTCAGCTCCCTTTCATTTATTACCTGCTGTGAGTAAGAAATCCCCACTCACTGTTCCAGGATATGTTGCTCAGAGTATATTGCTACCAAACAGTGGCAGCAGCCCTGGCTGAAGAAATTCTCAGGAAAGAACCCCCTTGTTTTGCATCCCTGGAGTTAGACTCACTGTTATTATAGATAATACTACAGTTATTGAATATGCCTTCCTCACATGTTGGCTAGTATAAGAAAAGATTTATTTTGGTACAGACATGCCAAGCTACTATTAAAAAGTCCTAATGAGACATGTTTTGCCAAGTAAGAAATTCAGTGTTGTAATGGCAGCACTACCTCATTTAATTACCCTAATGCAGCAGACAAGCTCTGATCCAAACACTACACTCTATCTGATCACAAGCAAAGCTGAAAGAAATAGTCTACCCTGGTATTTTGTTTCACAGTGTCAGAGAAAGGCCAGAGTAGGATTCTCCTAACCAGCTCTGAACAGTCAGACACTTAGCTATATTTACTGAATAATAAACTGCCAGAAATTAACTAGGTTATTTTTGCAGGACGATGTCCATAATAAAACCATTAGCAAGTCTTACTGAGGGAATTCAGAGACAGATAAACGAAAGCCCCTATTGTTATACATTTCCAAAAAGCTTTTCCATTATGGTCATAGCTGCTAAATGTTTCCAGAATTCAGAAGCTTCAATGGATACATACTCTAATAGTCCAGAACACACAAAACTGCACTGTGAAAACCAATAATGTTACAGACTACTACTGTTGTGTCAAAAAATCTTATTATGTGAGGGTTCTGACATCCATATTAAATGAAAGGTAGTATAATAGGGAATAATTAAGCTCATTCTACTTACCCTCTCACTACATGCTCTTAATTGTTTTTCTGACTGCAAACACAGGTAGTGGAATACGAGAGGGAAAGAGAGAAGAATTGGAAGTCTACCCATATGACTATTTTGTCATTCTAGTTTTAAAATAGAGGCAATCAGGAGCAGTACATGTTATGTGTTAGTTTTCAATTCTGGATCACCTGTAAAATCACTGCTTTGCTGTTTAACAGCCTACAGCAGATTGTTATTGCTAAAGATTTCAATGAACATGTTTTGTCAGTTATGAAATTTGAAGATGGCTCCGTCAAAATCAGAAGTATAAGAATATTTGTAAGGGAAGGATAATTATCACTACTTACCAATTCCATACTTTGTTCTGTAATGTTCCTTGGTGAATTCATCACAATCACAGAGTATTATCTTCCTTCCCCAAACATTAATTACTGCCCCTATTTTCAGGTCACTGTCTTTGTAAAATTCCTGATGCACTGCTCCTGTCTAATAAAAGATGGGACAGCAGCTCTATAAATCTCAGAAGCCCACAACCTTTCGTAAAAACTAGGTAATTCAGTGCATGTGATTTAAAATATAAATTTCATAGTCCATTTGCAAGTATTTTTCACCCCGTTCTAAGCTACTTCACTTTCACAAATGTGGTAATAAAACTCAGTAGTTTTCATTTGAGCTATTTTCCAGTGGTAACACATTTTTATAAATAACTCCGCATTGTAGAGGACAACAATCACAGAAATTTCATATTATTTTTTATATAATGAAGGCATTCAACTGCTGGAAGCATTCAATGATATCTGACCTTCCAATTGTCTATTAAATAACGGCTTTTCCCTCCTATTGCATTTCCAAACACATTGAGAACAGTTTGACGGGTGATGGTGCCTGGCTGAAACAGTCCAACAGGAGCATGCTGCAAGAAAAGAGACAACTCTTCAGAAATACAGTTAATGGTGAAGAAAGAGAACTTTAAAACTAGCTGATTCTCTACAGACTGCCTGTTATTACAGTATTTTCTTGGGAGAATCCTTAGTAAACTCTAGGAAAGCCAGTGTATATGTCAAAAGCCTGTATGTATACCAAAAGAAGCATTCAGAATCTTACTGCACATCCAAGAGTAATGTCTTTGTCTTCTTGGAAGCAAAGAGAAAGCAAAGGTCAGCAAATCCAAAGTAGCATATCCTTGCAAACATCTGCTCTAAAGACTATTATTTTGATTGGTAATAATTATGAAAACATGCAAATGAACCATTTGGGGTTGATCCTACTGTGCTAAACCACTGCACAAATGCAGGGGATTCAAGTCATCATTATTCTATTTGTAAAAATATTCATATTTTTGTTTCTATTATAAGTTTCAAAATTACAATAGTATTTTACCCCAGTAATATAAAATGTAATAAGCTAACATATTACATTTTTTAAATCATTAACAATCTGCTGATGATGGGCAACCAAAGTGGGTTACTCTGTCATAAAACTTTCCCTGACACCCCAACTTTTGACTGATCTCCTCTGCTGTCCTTCTCAAAACTTCCACAGAATTAAGAGGAAGAAGCCAGCCCTTAAAATTGCACCATACACTTCAATGGTAGAACAGGTCTGTCAGCACAGATCCACTGCTAAATCAGCATCAGAATATAGGATGCACAAGGTGAGAAAAGCGCAATATTTTGCTGTTAGGTTTTTTACCGTAAAATCTCCTGTACAACATGTATGGCATCACAAATAGATTATCAGTATTAGAAGGCAAGGAGGGAGAAGATTCTCCAGTATTTTACTCTGTCTGTGAGTAGATGTTATTCTATCAGCAGGGTCTGTCTGGAGTGATATAGAAGTGTATCCAGGATGTTAATTTTAAAATCATTAACAGGCTACAGAAGACTCAAACCCCTTGAAGATTTCTCTCATAGGAGATTTCTCAAATAAGCAAATGAGTAATGTTTGACAAAGTTTATTCACAGATTCCTATTGATTTTAACTGCTTTGCATACACTCCCAAATCTCAACTTTAAGAAATCATACACTCAATTTTAAGAAATCACTCAAGATTTGCTACAAAGAAGTAATGTTATGGAATACTAAAACAGGACTTTTCCAAAGGTTCTAAATACTCATCGCATGGATCACATCTGAATTTGCCCGAGTTTTTCATTAGTTTATCAATAAATATGTACTAATTTTCTGGACTTCCATTACTGCACAACTTTATTTACCTTAATACACTAATGCAGTAAAAAGGAAATCACAGAATGTATTTCTGCCTAAAGTATCTCTCCTTTCAAGCATGACAAGCCTAAACTTACTTTTTTCCATCACCTATTAAGCTACTATATGAATATGTGTGCAAAACCTAAATCATGCAATTATTAATAATACTCTGATAACACTTTCTAAATATCATCGACTAACTCAGGACTTTCAAAACAAGGCATTTATTATCTCTTACTTAGTGGAAGAATTTGAAATAAACTGAAATGTTCATCTCCCACCTTTGGAAGCTTATCTCTTCTGAGGAAAAGTGGAACTGTATCCCGGCCTGAGTTTATTGGTACAATTTCCTTTATATCAATAGTATCATCAGACAAATAATAGTGCAGAACAAGTTCCCGTGGGTCATGAAACATAGATTCTGGGTCATCCCAAACACAGAAAAAACGTAAGACACGTTTATCATGCTCCAGAAATTGTTTCAAAGTGTCAAAGCGCTCATATGGGCGCAGTGGATTCATACTCTCCAGAATCTGCAGATAAAGGAGAAATTAAGATAAATACCTTTTTAATTATTTGCTCTTAAAAACAGGATACCACTCTGCAGGGAACCATCTAATCTTAAAATATCCTTTTAGGATTTTCAAATAACACCACACAATTACAATAGATGAAACACTATGTCATTACCAAATGATTATTTACAGGGCTGCTGTGCCTTCAGAAAACATGAAAACAATTTTGGATAGATTTTGATCCTTGTTTTTCTTGCAATAAAGTCCTTCAGATCAGAAAATTGTTAAATTATTTATGGTACAGCTCACATTTTCAACAAATTGCCCATGGTAATCAGAAGACTACATCTCCAAACAGCATCACTCTTCCTGATTTACTTCCTTGAAAATTATTTTTATAGATGATGTGGCATAAATAATTAATTCTTTCTTTTCCCTTTAGCTTTCCTTTCTTTAGCTTTAGAACATAGTTAATTAACTTTTGATTCATGTCATACAGTTGGCAGGTACTGGGTATGTATGTTTTCCTCTCAATATACACCCATAGGTCTGAAAAGCAACAGCAGATTTCCAACTAAAAATACATTGCAGTTTATGTGATCTATGACAAGATGCTGCCTACAGTCATGGCTGCTGCAAAACCAGTAGCACTGTGTTAAATTTGATGCCATGATGGTGATTCAATACAAGGACTGCACTTACAGTTAGCTACAGTCATGTATATAAACATTGTTCGGAACAAGGTGTTTTTCCCAAGTCAAAATCAATCATGCCAAAGGGGGCAAAAGGGGTAAAATAGTCCTTATAATCTACAAAACAACACAGAACTGCTTTCAAAGGAGAATGGTGACTGATAACAATGACAATACAATCTGAGCTGTCTGTACAGAAAGAACTTTTGAATATGGGCAGTATATATAATTGTCTAACTTGCTATTTATCCACTGATACATTTTCTGTTCTTAAAAATCTGAAAGGAACAAGGTCCATTCTTTCAATCATCAAAATTTTAAATTAGGAGAGCAGACCCAAGTTTTGCTTGACAATGTGCTCGGTGATCTGCAATACTCTTTCCATTTCAGGCATCACCATGCTCATATGTGTGGTATATACCATCACAGTGCTATCCTTCCTCCTTTCTGATCCTTGGAGATGCAGTGAGCAACTAAATATAGCCACAAAGTCAGATAACATCACCATCCATAGGATACCCTCTCCAGCAACACATCTCCAAAATGTCTCTCTACGTTTTTAACTCGTGTCATTTTCTATCCCACTGTATTCTTTCCTTTCCTTTGTCCCTCCATTTTCTGGCCATCTGCACTATTTGGAATCTAATGCAAACCGATTTAATTTTGATAAAAGCAGTCCAGAGCAACTCATCCTTAATAAATAAAAAAACCCTACCTTCCACAAATTACTCACAAGAAAGTGAGAACATAAAGCAGCCAGAATTTTCTAGATAAAACTTTTCTGTAATTTCTCAACAACTGAGAAAATTAAGACATAGATTTCAGTAATTTTTGATCTTCTGATGCTATTATTTCTCTAACCTCTTTTTCCCCTCTCCATTCTTTTTAGGCACACATCTGTATAGTACTTGAATGCTTTGCCTGCTGTTTTTACAAAAAAAAAATAAATTAAAAATCAAAACTTCAGCAGGTTATGCATTACCATTTATATTGTTGACATGGTCTGCCAATATCAAGGCAACTCAGCATGTGTTAATACACACCTGTTATCTAGAAGGCATGAGTAAGGGAAAAGAAACCCATGGCCAGGCTGGGTCACCATTACACAGAACAAGGAGATATAGTATAAATAGTATTTTTCACTGGGGGATGGCAAAAAGCCATGAAGTGAAGTCACCATGTTGGCCTGAGAGTGCTTCAAAGACATGGTTCTACACATCTCAGTCATAACTGCCTTCCATTTTTGCTACTGAAAGCTGCAGCAGTTTTCTAAATAGGAGAGATTAAGGTAAACTCAAGAGACATGTATTTTTTGCTTTCAGAGTACTAAGCTGGATCTATCACAACAGGCTGCGTATTGTGTGCCAATCGTCCTAACAGAGTCAGGTCAAGAGAAAAATACAGTGCCATCTGCACTCATATTAAATAAAGAAAAACAGAAGTGAAAGAAACTGTCTTTATCTCCGACAGAAAACATCACTCCCACTTCCATTCCCAGAGAAAAGACTTCAAATCCTGCGAATAGGAATCCACGTAGCATCTAGGACCTGTGAGAGAGATTTTTGGAAGAGGTGCGTATGTGTTCCCATGTACTCATAAAAGAGGGAACTGCATTCAAATAAAATCTCAAAAGTCTAAAACTGCAGAGTGCTCAGTTCTTTGTGGCAACAGAATTTGCTTTACACATGCAAAGAGCTGTTAATAACAGGTGGGGTAGAGATGAAGGATGACATACGAATAAACCAAGAGAGTGTGCAGAAAACCACAGATGTGCTTGAACCACAATTCCAATTAGATCTTCCCTTAATCATTTTAAAGCATCATCATTAAATGAGCTCCAGCAAAATCCTAGGTAAGACATATAACAGGTCCATTTTTTTTCATTTCAGTTTAATATGGAAAGGTTTTTTATTTTTACCAGTTAATTGTGTTGTGTTGTGTCTCAAAAGGTATGGGAACACATCAGGAGAAAAAAAGTTCTGTTTGGGATTTCACTATGTTAGTACAATGAGTCATATAACAACATTTTTAAAAGCAAGTTTCCTCTTGTGATTCATTAAGTTGAATTAGCTACCTTGACGTACTTTCTATTTGCTATTAAAGAAATACTCTATATAATGTATATTACTAATTGCAATGGCACTTCTATTAAAATCAAGTTTTTACTATTACTGCCTCATCTGACCTTTTGCCTCTTTTTAGTGTATGGGTCATCTGGATGACCTGCAGGAGGATTTAATTTAATTCCCATCTTCCTCAGAAAATTTTTTGTAAATTGGTCACAATCTATAATCTTATATATTCGGGCATAAAAGACTATTTCTGTGTTGATATTGAAATGATCTATAGTATAGAACTCATCTTCACGAGGAGGTGGAAGTGGAACCCGATGTCATCAGGAGAAAAAAAGTTCTGTTTGGGATTTCACTATGTTAGTACAATGAGTCATATAACAACATTTTTAAAAGCAAGTTTCCTCTTGTGATTCATTAAGTTGAATTAGCTACCTTGACGTACTTTCTATTTGCTATTAAAGAAATACTCTATATAATGTATATTACTAATTGCAATGGCACTTCTATTAAAATCAAGTTTTTACTATTACTGCCTCATCTGACCTTTTGCCTCTTTTTAGTGTATGGGTCATCTGGATGACCTGCAGGAGGATTTAATTTAATTCCCATCTTCCTCAGAAAATTTTTTGTAAATTGGTCACAATCTATAATCTTATATATTCGGGCATAAAAGACTATTTCTGTGTTGATATTGAAATGATCTATAGTATAGAACTCATCTTCACGAGGAGGTGGAAGTGGAACCCGATGTCGTCGAAGAATAGTTCCTGTAAAAGAATTAGAATAGATTCAGAGTGAATATTCTTTGCTCTAAGGATCACTTCACAGAGTTGCTAATGTTCTATGGTGAGATGACCAACACAGATTAAGTCATATGGGACAAACAAAATTATCCTTCATTGAGCAAAAGTATTATTGGGTAAGAGGTTCCTTTTTATTAATAACAATTCTTTATGTTGATCATCTTCTAAAACCTCCAGATCCAGTATTTGACTTCAGATAATACAGAAAATTACCAGCAAACAGAAAACCACTGGAATAAACCCCCGTGTGTCCCTGCAAACATAGCAAGTTAGTATTTTTTCAACAAGAGTAGCAAAAACACTTCTCACATTAGGAAAAGAGATGTCTTTTCCACGCTTTCTGAGATGCAAAACAGTCTCCAGGACTCATTAGTATCACTAATCTTTCTTTAAGAAAAAACCCACAGAAAAAGTTATGCAAAAAACCATGTGGCAGGGCTGTACAGGAGGAACTAGATTTATCTACACTCTGCAGTGTGAGGAAAGCCATATATAGCTAAAGTTAGAGTAAAAAACTGCCCTACCAAGGGAAAATGTGTTGTCTTTAAAGCATGGAAGGAAGTGCATTCAACTGAGCTTCCTAAAGGAGCAAACTAGAAGTAGAGGCAACTGAGATGAGATGGGCTGGTTTCTGGGCTGCTGTAGAGAAATGTAAGTATCAATCCATCTCAGAAATACAAAGCCAGGAACTCATAACCCATAGTCTAAGAGAACACTATGCAAAAGAAGAAGATAAGATAAAAAGAACAAAGAGAGACATTTTAACTTTTTTAAAGTAAGTATACATTTACGTTTTCTTCTTGATGATCTTTAAATGAAAGGACTGTGATTCTGGGAGCATTGGTTTTGTTTACATTTACCAGATTCAAGGAGAAGAAATCTGCTATTGGTCTATCAGCTGAAAAATCACAAATACATTGATGAATTGGGTAATGTTTCAAACATATTCACTGGTGGTGACTGAGAGACTATCTCTGATATGGAAAGGTTGAGAGAGCTGGGTCTGTTGAACAGGGAGTAGAGATGGCTCAGGGGGAACTTAGCAATGTTTATAAATATCTGATGGAAGGAATGAAGAAGATGGAGTCAGGCTCTTCTCTGTGCTGCTCACTGACAGGACATGAGGCCATGGGCACAAATTAAAAGATGCAAAATTCCATCTGAACGCAAAAAAACCCACTTTCTTACCGGGACAGTGATGAAACACTCGAATAGGCTGTCCAAAAAGATTGTAGAGTCTCCATTCTTGCAAATACTGGAGAGGCCCTGGGAATGTGGCAGTAGCTGATCCTACTTTATTTGGACTAGACAATCTTAAGATACCCCTTACAGCCTCAATGATTCTGTGATACTACAAGTATTTTAGAAACAACTTAAAAGCTACAGCCTCAGTAGGTTAAACAAGCCATTAGGCATTTAACAGTAACTCATACATTAAATAAAGATTTGCAGCTGCATGTATGTCAAGCTATGATTTATTTTGAGTGAAGTTAATAGTGCACAAAGAACAGCAGATTAGCAAAGCTGGGACTAAACTTTTTTTTTTTCTCAGCATTATGAGAGAATGAAAACAAAAACAGCAGAAGTTTTGCTATATCAATACCTTAGTATAGTTGTGTGAAAATACCCTGTAGAGAACAAAAAGGTGGTCCAGTTTTCAACTTCAGGCTCTTTGCTGTGCTTACCACCCCAGACACCTCTGCAACACCAGCCTCATAATGCAGATGACCAGTGGCTAAGACTTATCATGAAACACCAACCCATTCTATTATAGTAATTCCTTGCCACCATAGGTTCCTAGCAACTTTAAAATTACAGCAACTGTAAAAGGTGCAACTTTAAGACAACTACAGTAAATACAAAAATTCCAAAACAGAAAACAGTTACAGCACTAACCTACTACCACAATAATAGTTTACTACACACAATTATCTAAAATGTCTGTCTCATCATCTCTTACTACAGAACAGGATTTCTTCTCAGTGCCCTTCAGTTGTGCATCTGGTGGTGTTTCCCACTGAGTTTCATTTAGTGATTTTCCAGCACTATTTTGTTTTGGGGGTAGGTGGGACTGGAGGTGGGCAGGGAGAGAAGGGATTAAGAGAGTCAGAGGAAGAGGGAGAAAGATATCATTTTGTGGTTTTGTTTGGTGTTTGAAGGGTCTTATTTCTGAGTTTATTCATGGAAATTCTTTATTGTTCACTATTTCCCTAAGAGATAATCTGTATTAAATACATTCCACTACTACATTATCAGAGTTATTTGTTAAATTCTAGCACTTACAATGAAAATATAACCTTAATTTTTCAAGGGAATAAAGCAACAGATTCCCCTGTTGCCCCAGAGCAGATTTACTTTATATTCCCATTAAAATAATAATTTAAGACCCGTTCAGCATCCTGATGTTTCACATGTACCAAATCAAATATTCTGGTTACCCACCTTTGTAAAATAAATTTGAACCTCTATCTGCTCAAACATACTCATACATGTATTTCAGCTGCATCCTCACAGAAATTTTAGTTAGAAAACATGGCAACTAGCACATTTTAACACAATGCAAAACTGCATCATGTTACCATTAACAAAAAAAACAATTTAAAATATGTTCCCCAATTTTGTCTAATCCTTGAGTCATTCCTACAGAAATCAACAGATAATGTGCTAAGTCAGAGCAATTATTTGCACAAACACAAATCTTGTTGAACTATGATTTTAGTGAAAATATAATGGTTGACCATTTTCTAATATGAGGTGTTTTCTGAAGGTATATTTACCTCAGAACTGGTGAATAAGCCTTCAGCTAGTTTTTCCTGTTACTTTTCAAAGTATAACACACATGGCCATTTTGTTCCAAGGGATAAGAATTTCTTTCCTAATGGAAAAAGTCTTGTGAAGATAGTATCTGTAGCAACTCTTTGCTTTTATTAGGTATCACTGTGCCTGATCTACACATGTAGAGGATACATTTTATATTGCTGAATTTGAAATTTAACAAAACCTGATCACCTGATCTTGGCATTTTTTCAATTGTCCTTCCTTCTGGAAAATAATTACATTTCTAGTTGTCAAAATTTCCTACAAGTTGTTGAAGGTGGACCTGGGCATGTGCAACATTCAGGTTGCTCAAGATGGATGGTTGTACTTGATGTTGCTTTTGTCAGTTTAATGAGCAGGCTATTCCTCTACACCACCAATCATTATTTAAAATATTTGCATCTGGTCAGACTAAGGCTCTCCCCCGCTATGGTCTTGTAAAGGGAGTTGAGGTGCTGCTTCTTTTCTGACAGTGGTGGTGGCATCCAGTTCCCATACTATAACTTTTAGTACATCCTCTTTTCTCACAGGGCTTCTGATTATTTGACAACTACAGCAGCAGCTTGAGGAGACCTCAATAGTAGTCAGGGCCTTTTGACTATGGGGAAGGTCATGAAGCTGGGCAGCAAATTATTTGGTCTCTGCTGCAACACTGCTCTGCAGAAGAAATAAAGTGATATCAAGAATTTAATCAGCACAGTTTTCTCACTCCGTCTGCACTACTCAAGAATGCATTAGAAAGAGAGGAATGGGTAACACCTGGAGGTGGTACACTCTTTGCTTGCACAGAAACAAGCAGAAGCAACAACTACTACTCCTGTAACACAAAGAGTTCACCTCAATAAACAAGCAGGCTTCTTACATTCATTTATTCACCCTTCTCAGAACATAGCAAGGTCATGATTTGGCCACCATTAACATGGCAAAATCACAATTATTTCAAGGCCTCTGGGGAGGTCTTAAACTCTTAAATAATTGGTTATATTGGAGAGGCTGACTGCAACTTCACTTTCCAGCTTGTACTTTCCTCTTCAGCCAGCCGGCCTTGGGAACCCAGCCAGCAGGCAGCTTCTCTCTTTTTCAGCTGGCTGACCTTGGGGAAACCAGCCAGCTGCTCCCCTCTGCTCTGGCTTGCAGGGCCTGGATTGCACTGGAAGCCACAGTCAACCCCATGGGACATAAATGACCTTTTGATAAGGCAGTATCAGCCAGCCACAGTCCTGTTAACTGGGAATTAGATCTACAAAACTCTACCACTGCCATATCTAGCCTGGCTCTCTATGGGAGAATTTATTTTTATATTGGAAGAATAATTAGCAATCTGGCTCTGGAAGAACACAATGGAGTTTGTTATGAGGTCAAGTTTACTGTCCTTCTCTTCACTCTGTACTCCCTTATCTTTGTTAGTTTTTGTGCACTGTGATTGTCCTGGTATTTCTTGCTTTAATTCTGGTTTCTCAAGTTCAGGTTGGCCTCTGCATTCCTTTGTGTTTTGCATTGAATTTCGCTGTTTGTATAGATTTCTTCTAATGCTTCTAATATTTTCCAAAGTTCAAACTACAGTAAGGCACTTTCCAAAATTAAAGGAAGTTTAAATTTCAGTTATTTGATAGCAACCTTATCTGTCCAAAATCACCTCGAAGTACAGCAGCCAATGCCATAATGCATCTTTTTTAAGTCTCTGAAATACATTTCCCACAGATTATTTACGTCTCTATGAGATTTGATCAATGGTAAAAGTACATTTTCTGGCTTTTTTTTTTTTTTTCCAAAGCCAATTTGTTTTAGGCCACAGTCCTGTTAACTGGGAATTAGATCTACAAAACTCTACCACTGCCATATCTAGCCTGGCTCTCTATGGGAGAATTTATTTTTATATTGGAAGAATAATTAGCAATCTGGCTCTGGAAGAACACAATGGAGTTTGTTATGAGGTCAAGTTTACTGTCCTTCTCTTCACTCTGTACTCCCTTATCTTTGTTAGTTTTTGTGCACTGTGATTGTCCTGGTATTTCTTGCTTTAATTCTGGTTTCTCAAGTTCAGGTTGGCCTCTGCATTCCTTTGTGTTTTGCATTGAATTTCGCTGTTTGTATAGATTTCTTCTAATGCTTCTAATATTTTCCAAAGTTCAAACTACAGTAAGGCACTTTCCAAAATTAAAGGAAGTTTAAATTTCAGTTATTTGATAGCAACCTTATCTGTCCAAAATCACCTCGAAGTACAGCAGCCAATGCCATAATGCATCTTTTTTAAGTCTCTGAAATACATTTCCCACAGATTATTTACGTCTCTATGAGATTTGATCAATGGTAAAAGTACATTTTCTGGTTTTTTTTTTTTTCCAAAGCCAATTTGTTTTAGTTTTGTAAAATCATAATAGAAGTTTGAAATTCTAACTTTCTGACACCTATTCCTTCACCAAGTCTTCCTACAATCCACAAGCCTCTCCAAGTTTTTCTTCCATAAAGCCACAAGTGCTATTCACTGTGGAGAGTAAAGTGGGAAACTACAATATTTCTCTAGTCCCACAATGCCCAGGGACACCCGTTCAGACCGTCAAGCTCTCAAGCACTGGTAACCCTGTAGCCTCAAGCAATTAACCATCCAAGGTAAGATGATCTACCTTTGATCTAACCTACCACCTGCCTTTGATCTACCGCACCACTGCTATATCTACTCTGCAAGAAGAGTCCTGAGAACTGGCATTTGAGCTGTATATTTTACATCTTTTCTGCAAGGGTAATCATCCAATGTAAGGTCACCATCACCTTCTTCCTTCAACAGTTCAATTCCATTTTTTGTATTCAGTTTTCTTGCTATTCCTCCTTTACACAATCCCTTTCCTGCCACTGAGACTCTCCAACTGTTCACATAGACTGAGCCTATCCTGCTCCTGATGTTCCCACACTTTTTCTTCACCCATGTCCCCACACTTGTGCTTTTGTTCAGTGCAGGCTGCCTTTCTACAACCCAAGCTCTCCTACTGTTGAACTCTCCTCTACAAACCCTTGACATTTTAATTATGTGACATGCACTTCAGCAGACCTGCAGAGGACAGCATTATGGTTAAGATCCTGAACTGTAGTTCAGTTACTCATCCTGTTAACAACCTTTTCTCCATGATCATGGGCAAGATTTTCATTTATTTGCACTTCAGCATACCAGCTTCCACCACGCAGTTACGCTTTTGTTCTTCTCAGGCTAACAAATACCCAGTCAGGACAGGGAATTTGAATAATACAAGAGGTACACAGAATTATAGTGAAAGTGGCAAAAGGCCAATTTTTAATTGGAAACAGAATGAGACTAGAAGCTAACAGTTTGGGATTTCTTTTTAAGAGACACTGGTTTTGATTATATTCACCAACAAATATATAGTGCCTTTAAGATAACTTTATGGCTGTTCTTCAATTATGGAGCATGACGTTACTGTTCAAGTGCATGTGAGTAAAGAATTCTCTTATATGCATCTCCAACACCTTTTTCACTCTACATCATATTAGTCTCTAGGATAATAAAAGTATTTATGTAGATATTTATTGTAAAGTATAGGCTCCAGATCTCATCAACTGCAAAGCCTAAACATATTTCAAATAGTCCTTGGGCCTTCCAATGTACAGTATCTCTTCCCTCCTAAACACAATCAATACACAGAGCTTCCTTACCAGCCCAGTTACCAGCAACAAATAAATTAAGTGCACTTTTGACATCCTTGAACATTTATTTTTAATCCATCAGTTCAATACATTGTGCATATTCATTTATCCCACATAAAGTACTCATACAAACTGCAGTGGCCTTCAAAACATCTTTGCATGGAAGACTGAGAGAATTCTTGTTTTTCTCTAACACTACTCAGTTTAATTTTAGATCCAGTACCAAAGGTGACTCCAAAACCATTAACATAACATGCAACCAAGGAAATTAGGGGGAAATTGTAGCCTTCCTGTCTCCACAGGATCATGACTAGACTGCCAGGAAAATCAGGCCTGAAGGGACAGCCTGCACAACCCATACTAAAAAGACAATGAAAATTACTCATTATTATAGCTAGGTTCAAAGGAGCCAGATCTGAATTTGCTTTATCCTGCCCTAATGAACCTGGCTTCCAGCTTCCCTCTCAAAGATGTTGACTCTGCCTCTCAGGTTAACTGTACTTCCTTTATTGATGTTTTTTTGTTCTAAGCCCCAAAATCCAGAAACAGCCGGTCCCACTCCTGTGACACACAAGCCAAGGAAAACCTAAACATAATTATGTCTCCAGCCTCACACATATGAGTGCAGGGAAGGGATAAGTAACTTGGAAGTTCCCAGGGTAAGAGCTTCAACCTGTTTTTCTTTAGGTCTTGAAAAAGCACTTCTCAGGTAGGAGTAGGACAAGGTTCCTCGGAATTCAAAATCAGTTCTTACTTTCTGGCAAGAAGAACCACTCAACACAGGGAGAACGGGATCTGAGGTACTAGTTTAAGAAAAGACTTCCAAGTACTTTTATCTCAGGTCTAATAGTAATGATGCAGGTAACACCTCTTAAATACTACTCTGTCTACGTTGTAGACAGAGAAACTGACAGCATCTGCTGATCTTGAAAAGGAATATGGTAGTTAAATGGTTAACTTGTTTTTGAACATTGCTATACTAAGATCCACCAGAATACACAAAATATCTTTTGGGATTGGGAGGCGCAGTCTTCCCAAGACATCCTGCTTATCTGGACTAAATCCCTTGAAAACTTTTTTAATTCTGGCAGTGACCCATAAACACCAAGCAGTAGCAGCTGTGCTCGCCTTCTGCAACAGGATGTTGACCACTAGATTGCATTTTCTTAAAGTAAACCAAGTCCCTTAATACTCCAGTAAGTCAGCTCAGTACATCCTCCTCCAAAAGTCCTCAGGCTGGCCTAAGTGCAGTGATGTGACACTCAGGTAAGACAGCATCTAACTTAGAGGTGTCAAGGAAAAATTACAGTGCCAAGGTCACTTTAATCATAACAGGAGCAACAGGCAGTCACAAAAAGCCTTCTCCTTCATCAACAGCAGAGATACTGCAGCAGCTAACGAACAATTACAAAGCTGCACCTACAGAACTTACTGTCATTGCCAAGATGGGAGGAACAGAGGATCAGGAATGGAGATCTAGAAGACAAATTGTTTTGGCAGAAGTGACACAATACTGACAACAGGCCCACTATCTTTTTATTTCAAACAGGTATGTTTAAGAAAAATGGTACATGTGGGTGCGGGAGGGTATTCTGCCTTGCAAAACCTACATCTTCAGAAACTAAGACAATAAGAAAGTTAGCATTATGATCTATAGCTGTTTGCTTACAGCCCATTTTAACTATAAGACATCATGTTATATATCCATTAGAATGGGCCAAGACTGTACTGAAGATATAAAAGGGAGGAGGGGGGAAGTGCTATAAAAAATAGATACCTTGATTGATGCCACTATTTTTCATTCGGGGTTCAAGCACTTGGATTGTATCATCTTCAAGATAGAAGTATATTTTACAATATCTGATTCTATAAGGCTCTTGATTTTTGTCAGGCACTTCGTCCTCAAAATAGGCATCAAAAGATAATACCTAATAAAAACAACAAATAAATTTAAAGCAGCAAAATCTTCAATGTTTTTGCAAAATATGTCAACAAAATAAACTTATATAGATTATAAGTAACTAAAGGTAGAGGTATGGATTTCAGGAGGTAGATTTATTTCTCAGAAATGTTAGAGTAGAAATCCACATTAAAGCACATAAATCTAAAATTCTTTGACTGGCATTTTTATTATCACAACATACAAGCAGAGATGGAACTCTACTAAAGTAATGAAATAAAGCAAATATAGAACTATCAGCAGGCTGTTTGGAAAATCTTCTGAACAAAGCACTTTTGATAGCACAGTGAGCTACCTAGGTCTTGAGGCAAATTTTAGACTTCTACTCAGTGAAATGCTGAAAACTAAACTGCATTATGACAGTGGTGCCTTTACCATTGAGGTAAGTGGAAAGGAGTGTTCTTTTTAAGGAGATCCTGAAAGCTGTCTAATGAATGGTGCTGAAGATTATCAGAAAGAAATTACATTTTTCAGAAGTCATTTTGAGCTGTGCACTATTTGCATTTCAAAACTTACCTGGTTCTGCAATTCAGCGAGTGGAAAATCTGGGAGAGTATATCAGCTGGTCTTCATGGTCTCTTGCAATACCAATAATGCAACAAAAAAACCTGCACAGGTGAGGTGCTCAGTGGTTTACTACAGTGGCCTTTATGTCTCGAGATCCCAACTCAAACTCAGCAAACCATTACACAATTTTGCATTTCTTGGTATCATTTATGATCTTTAATGACCAGGACCAATTTTAAGAAAATGTGCAAGTAGTGCATTATCTACCTTTATCTATGATTGCTGTGGTATGTGTAGGGAGGCAAGCATTAAACGGGGTTCCATCCTGCTCCCACACACATTTGAGTCATGGAAAAGATCCTCCTAGAAGACATGCTAAGGCATGTGGAGAACAAGGAGGTGATCCAGGACAGCCAGCATGGCTTTACCAGGGGCAAATCCTGCCTGGCCAACCTAGTGGCTTTCTACAACAAAGTGACTACATCAGTCGACCAGGGAAAAGCAGTGGATGTCATCTACCTGGACTTCTACAAGGCCTTCGCCATGGTCTCCCACAACATCCTTCTCACTAAACTGGAGAGATATGGGTTTGATGGGTGGACTGTTCAGTGGATAAGGAATTGGCTGGATGGTCGTGTCCAGAGGGTAGTGGCATTGGCTCTAAATCCAGATGGAAAATAGTGGCAAGTGGTGTCTCTCAGGGGTTAGTGCTGGGGCCAGTGCTGTTTAATATCCTGATTAACAATATTGACCGTGGCACTGAGAGCACCCTCAGCAAGTTTGCTAGTGAAACCAAGCTGGGTGGTGCAGTCAATATGCCAGAGGGACAGGATGCCATCCAGGGGGACCTGGACAAGCTAGAGAAGTGGGCCCAGGTGAACCTCATGAGGTTCAACATGGCCAAGCGCAGGGTCCTGCACCTGGGTCAAAGTAACCCAAGATAAGGATACAGGCTGGGGGAGGTCACACTAGAGAGCAGCCCTGTGGAAAAGGACCTGTGGGTACTAATGGATGAAAAGCTGGACATGAACCACCAATGTGCAGGTGTAGCCCAGAAGGCCAACTTCATCCTGGGCTATATCAAAAGAAGTGTGGCCAGCAGGGCCAGGGAGGTGATTCTGACCCTCTACTCTGCCCTGGTGAGACCTCACCTAGAGCACTGCGTCCAGCTCTGGTGCCCCCAGCACAAGAAAGATGTGGACCTGTTGGAGCGTGTCCAGAGAAGGGCCATGAAAATGATCCGAGGGCTGGAGCACCTCTCTTATGAGGACAGGCCGAGGGAGTTGGGGTTGTTCAGTCTGAAGAAGAGAAGGCTTTGGGGGGACCTCATAGTGGCCTCCCAGTATGTGAAGGGGGCCTACAGGAAAGCTGGGGAGGGTCTTTTGCAGGGGCTTGTAGTGAGAGGACAAGGGGTAAGGGTTGTAAACTGAAAGAAGAGAGATTTAGGTCACAGACCAGGTGGAAATTCTTCAGTGTAAGGATGGTGAGACACTGGAACCGGCTGCCCAGAGATGTTGTGGGGGCTCCATCCCTGGAGGTGTTCAAGGGCAGGTTGGATGAGGCTCTGAGCAGCCTGTTCTAGTGGAAGGGGTCCCTGTCTATGCAGGGGAGGTGGAACTTGATGATCTTCAAGGTCCCTTCCAACTCTAAACATTCTGTGATTCTCAATAGGCCACTCTCCTTTCTCTCAGGCAGGGTAAATGCAAGATGAGACAAACTCTTGTTTCTGCAAACTATTTCAAAGGCTGAGAACTCACTGATTTTCACCATGCACCAAATAATATGACAGAAATGTTTTTCACATCAACTCTCCTGCACTGTGACCAACCACTATTAGAGAATTTAAATTATAATCAAATGACATCACTGTTACCTGTTAAACCTGATGGCATTAAATCTTCACACAAAAGAATCTAGACACTACCATTTATGGTTTGTTTAAGTAACACAATGTGTAAGTTTCTGAACAACCTACAAATTAAATAGTTGAAAATATTTAAAAATTCATTCTGGCCACATGTTATTTTTAACTGTGGATTTCACTGTTTCATGTATCAAACACAAAAACACTGGATAGAACATCTGACATACAACAGAGCCAACACAGCTCTATATCATCCTTTAACATCGCTTCTTTGTTCCATTTGTCTAAACATTGGTGTAGAGTACCACATTTGGTGACCAAGGTATCCTTCCTGGCCTCCAGCTTCTATTTTGTAAATCTCTTGAATACTCCAGGGGTCTCATAAGGTACTGTGATGGAACCACTATATCCCAGTCTGAACATCCTGGGGTTCAGC